TTATTAAGGGAAAATTGAGCTTTTAGTTGCAGCAATCCATAAAGCCCTGCGTTGTTTTGATAATTCATATTTGTAGATCAAAAGCCAATGATTTAAAATAGCAGGAACTGAATAAAATTTCACATTAGCCCTGTTACCTCGACTTCCACACCCAATTACGATGCAAATCGCTGGCATTTTTATTAACACAATACCTAAACACACAAAAAAACACAAAATTCGATAATTCAAATATTGACGTTTGTCCAGAATGTGACAGAATCAATGATATACAGAATAAACAACACACACAGTGCTTCACCCAATGCTTGACCCGAACTTCCATATTGAATTTCGTTTTTGACAGGTCAGTAGATTGCCTAATTGAAAAAAAGTATTTTTTGAACTAATGGATATCCATTTGGTTTTCGTGTCTGTGATGCGCATCTAAAATGTTATCCAGCAGAGCTGTTGATGGAAATCTGACATTTTCGTGTCTGGCATAACGTGCACATGTCCCTACGGTTCGTGCCCCAGATTTACATGTGCAGTAATACGCAACAATTTCGACATTATCGTATTGAATCCACAGTTGATACTTTGTGGCGTTCCGAAATCTTGAATATATCCTCACCCTTATCACACCTTCAATATCATTGTTGTCATCAACATGTACTTCCGTCTGCCTTTCTCTCTGCCTTGTATCTTGGATATATGACGTGGCTAAATTGATGTGGTACGTACCAACCGTGAGGTCTCGTAGATATTCCAAACTAAGTTCGGGAAAGTTTGTAATGTGTTCATGATTTAGTGGAACCCACCTGCCACGTCTTGTTGTAATTGCTGATTTTCAACATGATCTTTCATCGCATTTGGTCGATTGGCTCTTCGAAGAATTTCTTGGGCCAGCTCAGCATTTGCCCCATTCATGGTAATTGGAGGAAAATACCGGTTAAGAATTCCACCGCATATATGTAGATGATTTTTGAGGTGAACTGCATGTGTAGTAGAAATTCTGTGATCGAAGAATTTAAAAATAGATTTAAAGTGGCCGTTTCGAGCTTCTATTATCCACCGTGTTTTTGTAACCATACGGGACCTATTTGCCTCTTCCACCGACAGCTGAAATTGCCCTCGTCGAATTGTTGCAGGCATTCGGTGTTCGATTCCCAACTGATCGAGGAGTGAGGTAGCATCCCTGTAACCCCTATCCACGACTAAAATATCACCTTCATGAAAAAAGTTCCTCAATCCTTGTACGTCGTTTAAAAATTCGTCTCGCAACGTTGCAGAATCATTATTTCTAACATCGCCAAAGTATGGACCCAGTACAGTTAGGATGTATCCATCGGGCGCAACAACTAATATAGCTTTTACTAGATGATATCCTTTATGTGGGCTGTAGGTCTGGCGGAGAGCTTGAAAATGTTTGCTTTTGTCGATTTCTAAATAGGTACCGTCAATATAGGCAATGCCTTTCGCTTCATCAGGAACCGGATTATAGTAGGTAGCGGGCTCTGGTTATTGAGTTTAGGCCTACTGAATCCCCCAAAAATCGAATGCCAAGAGACCGGCTAACCTTCTCTATGGACATGCTTACAGCCTGTCGCGATTGGTAATTAAAAATAAATTCTAGAAATTCATCTGAAACGTCTTGCTTCAATTTACATAGATAAGTTATTAGATCTCTTTTAGTCACATATCTTACTCCACTCTCTTGTGGAACAGGTTCGCAAAAGCCATACAAATCTAGAAAATCTTGTTTTGATATCGGACTTACTGATTTAAATTCTTCGTCCGTCAGACTGCTTTCGTCCTCAAATCTCCATTGGCTATTACTTGTCAAGCCTCTTAATCCCTGTAGAAGAATTTGCAATTGACTTCCATTGATCTTAACAGGCCTGTTAATGTAGGACAGACCAGGAAGAAGCTGCCGTAAAATAATGCCACCTTCGTTCAAATGGTGCTGGCATACACGAATGTTCTCGGAAGCGTAAATATTTTGAGCAGCGAAAGTAAAAGTCCGGCATTTATTTGATAGTCTTTTAAGATCAGCAGGTTGACGGTCGCAAATGGTACAACCGTTCAAATGGGATACCATGACATTTAGTCTCAAACTACTAGGATCATTTTCAATCACTTCAACTTCGTTATTAATTGACAAGTTGCAATTAACGCATATCCGCGTCGCCTCATTTATTGGAGCAGCCGGCAAGACCATATTTGCTCTACGGTTTAAAGCAATATCCCTTTTCACGTCATTGTCTCCAACACCTATCCTCACCATTCTTTGAACTAACTGTTGCCTGTTGCACACAAAACAGTTAAGTCTGTTTCTGTTGAAAGCTGGTGCCGCGTTCATTTTCCAGGCAAAAACAGGTAGAGACTGCAAAAGGGTTTAAAGGAATCTCAAACGTAAATACTGCTTTTAAGAGAAACTCTAAATTAAAAACTGCAAAAGCTTATGGAAGAAAGTCAACGTAAATTCACAACAATTGATTGATTTTTTCAAATGTCAAATCTGCGTCTTTTTTATGCATTGTGATTTTTTTGTTTGTTTACTGTTGCCTTGACAACGCGTCATTTATAAGTATCAGGTATTCAAAAAAGAAAACAATAAAAGAATGCTATGGTTTTTTGAACGTATGTCTTAGCAATATTTTTCTTCAATTTTGTCAATGAACTCTAATGTCAAAATGTCATTTCAAAAATCCTGACCAATAAAGGAACAATAATGCGACGTACGTTTTTGTAATCAGAGCAGTATTTGATTGTTTTTTTTTTTTTTGAAGACGTTATAAATGAATGTGAATTTACCTTTTTTTTTCGGAAAAATGAATTCAGCTTTAAACCTTACTTTGCAGAGATTGACGCCATTGATGGGCTTAACAAATAACCGCCAATGGCGAGTTGAGGACAAAAACAGTCTGACAGACGAAGAGTTTAAATCAATTACCCCTTTTGCGAATTTGTTCCACAAGAGGGTGGGGTTGGATGTGTCACCAAAAGAGATTCAATATCTTATCTCTGTAAAATGAAACAAGGGGAATCAGATGAATTTTTAAAATAACTATTTAATTACCAATCGCGACAGGCTTTAAAAGCATGTCCGTAGGGAAGTATAGCCGATCTCTAAGCATTCGATTTTTGATATATATAACCCTATTTCTGATGAGGCCAAAGTTATTCCTTATATTGACAGCAGGGACCTATTCAAAAATCGAAAAAAAAAAAACTTCTTGTCAGACCTTTAATATATATAAAAGATATCATCTAGTTGAGTGAAACCTATAGTAATTGTTGCGCTATATAAGACATTTTATCTGTATACTACTGGACTATGAATCTATTTTAAAATTCTTCGATCACAGAATTTCTACTGCGTACCAGCTTTTTATTGTTTTAATAATCTCAAACGTGCTTGTATTGGCACACTTTTTCTGGTGTATGATTTGGACCACCCTGTAGTTACTTTGCGGAAAGGCAGACTGCAAAACATAGTTCTATCTTCTAAAGGTATGTGTTTTTAACCAAAAAACCCAAATTCCAACCTTTTATTCATGTTTTCCCAAAATTTATTTGAAGTAAAGTAATAGAATGTTTTTTTTAAATATTATCTAGTAGCGTAGCATTAGGCAGCCCTAACTCAAAAATATGACCGGTGACCACCCCAAATTTTTATGCAAATATTATCAGTAGAGATAGCACAATAACATACTACAATATCACACAATTTCACCAATGCCGGTTTTCAATGTATTTAGTGCGGGGTCCTTTGTTCCTTGAAAACGGAATGATGAGTAAGCGGTAGCTGATCGATATTCGTTTTGTGGTACTAAAGACATATGGCCGCTAAGAAGATAGTCCTGCATAAATTCGCAATATTTTTTATAGAGCTCCTCATTCTTTGAGAATCGTCTTTCCAGCATCAAATATCGTCGATGCGCTAAAGAATAAGTATCGAGACGGAGAGGTACCGAAAACCAGCCTGAAGAATCTCGAACAGTCGAAGTGGAATACAGTTTTTCGCACCGTTTATCTTCTTCAGATAAAATGGGAGGTTTTGAAATTTGTTCAACTCCCCAAAATTTCTCTAGTTGAAATTCAATATTATGGCTAAAGGAAGCCTGAAGAGACACGGGAGGTTCTAAGAAGATTGAAGAAAATAGGCCAGTGGCCTTTCCTTGAAGGACAACCAAAGACTGTCTCTAAGGCTATTGGCTGGTCTGGCTTGCCGAAAATGCGACCAGATTTTAAGAAGAACGGAACTAGCTCCGCACCTATCAACATGTCAATAGGTCCGGGAATGTCAAACCGAGAGTCAGCAAGTTCAAGATTGTAAATGTGCTCTAGATCGGCTTGATTGATTGTTAATTTGGGCTGATTAGAAGAAACTGAAGGAATAATAATGGCTTCAAGTGGAAAGCTTGGGCTTGGTTGGCCACAAGGTTTTATAACGCATCGGGCAAGCCAGTAAATTTTAAATAATTGGTATTGAAAATAAATTGAATGATTTCTAAAAATTTTGGTTGTGTGATTTGACAATAATTTTGAATGTCATCCTATATTTTAATCAATACTTTCGAGTAACTAACAAATCAATAATCAATTCAGCACCAATTTTTTGTTGTACTATGTTGCCAGCTGTTTAGAAACCGTATTACGAGCAACATTGTCATGCTATTTTATTTAATTTTTAATTATTGTTTTGCAAATTACTTAATAATTGAGAGTGAATAATTTATTAAGATCTCATAATAATTACAATTTTCATTATTTTCGAAATATTCGTCAAAAAATTTCAAAACTTTAAAGGCCTTTCTCTTCAAAATGTATAAACATATATTTTCACATGTGAAAATCTTTGTAGTCAAACCTGATACACCCTGTATATTTTTCACCGTTTTACTGTATTTGCTGTTTTTGCAAGTATTAATGTAAATTGATTTTAATGCAAAACTAATTACTTAATTGAAAACATTCTTTTTGTCGGTTTAAAGAGTTCATTGGCTTCCACTTACCGTTGCCTCTGGAACAGCATGTATGTGACACAACAACGACACATTCTTTCCTTCGGTAAGTTCCAGATACAACGTTGTCGGTTGTACTTCTGGTAAGCAAGCAAGCTCTCCCACAGGAACACTTTTCACCAAAGTATCCTGCAAACGTTTCGGCTCGGTACATACAGGCTCCATCGAAGAAGGAATGTGAAAATTGGCCAACCAATCACGTAGGTCCTGTATGTAACAGTCGCAGGTCCATGGGTTTTTTTGGAGCTCTATACCTTTGAGCGTTTTGGGGAGACTATGAGGACCCTGAATTGTTTTGAGGCGATTGGAGGTGAGGTGAAGCCATTCTAGACTGTGTAAACCTACGAAAACAAAAAATTGATTGTTAATTTGTCGCTTAGGATGTCTTTAAAAAATATTATTGAACTTGCTAATAGACTAAGTATTTTTACAATACAAACTCCAGGCTTTAGCTAACTTTAGAGTGTAGATACATAAATATTGACTTTGTGGAGTCAGTCTTTATCTTCTTAATTTGAATTGAACGTTAACTGAGACATTTACGCCCTTGTATAATTAAAGTGTTCTGAATTTTTAATGGTTATAAGCTTAAGATTAAGGATTCAAGAGTCACTGAAGAGTTTTATTGGTTTTAAAACTAATTATCAACTATCCTTAGCAATCGAGTGAAGTTTTATGAGAATAAAGAAAGGATTATTTTTTCAATCCTCCTTAGCGTGACCTAAAATAGCGAAGAGAAGAATCTCAAATTATTATTGCATCTCATACAAGACAGTACAGAAAAGAATGTTTACTATTCGCTAGTCCTAGGCACGATGATAGGATCAAATCTGTGGCGTCCGTGGATGGAAAAGCAAAAAGAAGCAATTCCCCCTTTGTAAAATCTGTTGATACTTAAATTTTATTTACCTTGAAAAGCTCCGTCTTGAACGTCCGCAATTTCACAATCACTTAATTCCAGTGTGTTCAAGTAGCTCAAATGATTAAATGCGAGTTTCTTCACCTCTTTTATAGGATTTGAGCTCAATGTTAGCTTCATTAACGAGGGACAATTCGGAAAAGCCCCTGTGGGAACGTTTTCCAAAAAGTTATAAGATAAATCCATCTCGACTAGATTCGTTAACCCTGCAAAGGTCTCTTTATGGATACTATTAATGCGGCACTTGGACAAATAGAGCCTTTGCAGGTTAACTAATTGCTTTTTCACAAATATCTCTTTGGAAAGTTTTCCCAAATTGTTATCGGAAAAGTCCAGGACTTGAGTTTCGGGATCCAGAGTGTCGGGTAGGTCGTTGAGCGATTTGCTGAAGCAATCCGCCGTCCTCTTGCCGTTTTTCCATTTGCAGATGCAGGACACCGAGCAGGCGATGGCTTCTTGGAAGAGGAGGTAAGTGAACGTGTAGAAATGCCAAAGGTGCATTTTGAATGTGATTTTTATGTTCACTTTAACATGTCAAAAGTTGATCTGGAATAAAAGACAATTATTTAGTTGCGTTTTTTATTGAACTATTGTTTTTTTTTGTTAGGAGATTAAGCAAAAATTCAAAGAAATAAATCCTTTGCAGCAATCTATATACATAGAATACAATTGGATTTAAATTAATTTAGAACAATTGAATTCAATTTAATTAAAAATACCTCTATTCAGTTTTAATTTTAGAAAATTTGCGGAGCTCCGTGTAATTCATTAGGAAAAATTATTTCTCTCCGTTTCTAGAGAAGCTTTTTTCATTAACAATGCACTTTGGGTGAATATAGCTTTCGCGTTCAAAAACTTTCCTCTGGAATCTCCTTTATTTTTTTTTTCCATTTAAAATTAAAGAGGTTTGGTTTTAAGGAAATACGTCTTCTCGAAACGTCAAACTGAAGCCAACTTGCCATTTTAAAAATATTGGAGTATTATTTAAGTTTTAGAACGGCATAAAGCGACCGTGTTACATGTAATCGTTGCGTTCAATGACACACAACTCTAGTATGGCTTAGGATAAAAATAAAACCTCTCTCAACTATCTTCAATATATGTAGTTCTTGTCTTCCGGAAACTTTTTCCTGTTTATGACAGATTTTTTTTTTTTACTGTTGGAAGCATTATTTTAAAAAATGGAAAAGGTGAATTTAAAATGTTTCTATCAGAAACAAGGACACTTTCTCTTGATTGCAGCTACAATTGTATCGCAGTTTCATTTACTCTCAATTAAATCATGGCTAATTGCTAATTATTAGTCCCCTTTATTTGTAATTATTGAAAATAGTTTTGCTCTAGAGCCAAGTTGGGCTTTGGAATAGAAAGATATGTTTATTTTATACTTTTATGTTTATTGGAAAGAATATTGGGTTAATTTGTATAGAATGGTAACTCGTAGTTTTCTTGAACCTTCGAGCTTTAGTATTTAACTATGGTTTAATTGAATTTACATGGTTTATATATTCATGCAATTTACTTTTCTGTACTGCCATCTAGTACCTGATGGATTTATTTTTCAAAGTATGATTTCAATTATTTCGCATTTGACAGTCATTTGTATTTTCATTGAAAAAAATTATATTTATCTCACTTTTAGCAAATGGATATATTTCTGTATTTTTCTAACTTCTGATTCTGGAATAATTTTTTTTTTTGGCTAAATGACCTAATTAATTAACAGTTTTTTATTTTTGACATAATCTTAATTTATATTATTATAATTTGTAAACAAATAAAATATTTCTAGTGGATTTTTATCTATTCTCTTTTATTCCACGCGGTCTTTCATTGTGTTTTCATTGTGAAGTGAATATGGTCTTTTGGATGTACTGGTCTGATTGGTTAAAACTGGTTAAAATGCAGTTGAGTATAAAAAACACGGGATCGTTTTCCTGTAGGCTTTGGTTTCTGAAACGTCCTCTTTCGTTGACAGAAGTCTGGCAGGCAAGAGGTTTTTATTTTTAATAATTTTTAATCTCAAATTTTGGATTCTCCCTTATAGATTTTTCAATATATTTTGCGATCAATTCATATTATCGTATTATTATTAAGTTTTTACCTGATAAACCTTATCTTATCTGTTCTTGAAATATAAATATTATACTTTAATTTTTTTTAAATCTAATTGTTGGCTTCCATTTTGTGTGAGTGCTGATTAGTTGTGCCACGTTTTCTTTGAGGTAAGTCAACTCAGATTTTTGGATTTTAAAAAGGTACTGCTGCTCTGGTTTTCAAAATCAATTGTTAGTGTGGGAATATTGGACCATTTGTTCTAAATAGAGTCGGTGAAAAACCAAGTTTGTGTGTACATCCCTATCAACTCTTTATTGAATCCAGACAGAGGCCTGAATAGCTATTTTCTGTTTGACTCCCTCAATTATTATCTCGACTAAAGGGTGTAATTTTTTAATAGAAATCCAGAGAGGTCAAAAAATTCAGTTAAAAAGTTTTAATTAAAACATCTCAAGAATTTTGACATATTTTGGATTTGATTCATCTCAACCCCAGGTTTATCTATGGTAGCTACCTCAATTTGAAAGGAAAATTTTGTCTATTTAGGGGAGAATCCATATTGTTTTACCTACCTTATTTTGTTCATATTTTTGCCTGCCAGAGCTACTGTCAGAAAAGCAGCATTTTGCTCAATCATAACGAGTATTTTAATTTAATCTTGTTATTATTTTAATTTTATTATTATCTTTCCATTATTCTCAATTATTTAATTGTATTTTTTTTTTATATTAAAATATATATTTTTTTCAACTTGCAATAGCTGTTCATACCTGATTCTGTTGAAGTGGAGTGTCTGTACAACAATCGTTTTATATTAAATTCCAATTTCAATTTACTGTGCAAGACACTCACTTTTTTGACAGAATTCAGGGATTTAGTATTCCAAATATTGGTGAACCTGATACTGCCTTATTCTTTTCTGGGTACCTACTCAACATAATTATCACTGGAGTCGGGATCTGCTGGAGTGACGTCACCCTAGCAATCTATCCTCTTCCTGGATACAGGAAACAACACGAAGAGCTCCAGTTCACGAAAGTGAAACCCCAACACCCATTGAAGAGCTCTGGATTGGAAAGGTATATGGTATCAGATTCACCGGAAAAACCAAGCTGTCAATACTAAAATTTTACAGTAACATTTACTGTTACTCTATGTTACATACAGAACATTGTAAACGAAATAAAATTATTGTTTGTTGGATTTTGAGTGGTTTCATTTGCACATAAAGGGACTACACGTTATCTTAATTTTTTGGAATTCCATGACCCTAGGTTATCTTTTCTTGAAGTAACAAATTCATAATAATTTGTAACAGGGTAGAACTCGCAGACTTTATAATTGTTAGCTGTTATTTTCCACCGAGCATCTCACAGGAGAAGTTTAGTCTGGCCCTTGACGCCTTGGGAAACTTCCTGAAGGTATTTCAGAAGAGTACCATCATTTCTGGCGACTTCTATGCCTGGGCTACAGATTGGTGCATGCACATAACCAACGCGAAAGGTAACATTCTTCTGGAACGGATGGCGGCTAATGACCTTACACTTCAAAAGAACGGCAAAGAAGCCACGTCTGCAAGAATGGGGGCCAGCTCAATCGTCGACTTGACTCTGTCAAGCGCCAACATCAGCGCCAAGTTTACAGGCTGGAGAGTGTTGTACGTGGAATCACCCAGTGACCACAGATACATCTATTTCACGGTGGACAACGGGAGAAGGACAACGCAAAATATCGTATCCAGGCACAGATGGAACATCAAAAAGTTGAACCAACCCGCTGAATTTCAACGAAGAGGTTGCGGCGGCGCTATATCCCTCCCCCTCCGGAGACTCCCCGAAAGTCTCGACGCACTAGTGAAAAATATGCAACGCCTCTATGCCCAAAAAGAGATCTAACCCCAACCACAAAAAGCCCACATATTGGTTGAACGACGACATCGTCAAGCTCAGGAAAACGTGCCTTACCCTAAAGAGGAAATTCACTAGGAACAACCGCAGAGACTCCACGAGAATACCGTCAGATAGGGAAACCTACAATAGTCACAGGAAGAAACTGAAGTTGGCTATCAACAAGGCAAAAAGGAACTGCTGTCTTCTTTAGCAATAGAATTTAAGATCTTAAATAGTGCTCGCTTTAGTGTAGAGTGAGCACTTATGAATTGATTCATTGTTGATAAATAATCAATCGTGAGAAAAATATTCTCGCCCCAAATCTTTCGCCATTTTTTGTCTCCGACACTGCCACTGAAAGTTCGAATGCGATTTTCTATCCATGCCTGCCCATTGTCTGTTGTTAAATGCTTTACAATGGTTAGCAGTATGTTACGGGATGATTTTTCCCGGACCAAAATAAAAGGAAATAAGCTTATTCACCTCTCTGAATAGCATACCTTCCTCAAGCCACTGTTTTCTATCCAATAGTTGTAGCCGCGCTTTTCATCAAACTTTTCATTCTTCCCAGAATCATTAAGTTAGAGGTTTATTAATGGAATTGATTTTCTGTTAGTAGGGTTAAAATAAATAGACAATTAATTTATTAATAAAATAAAATTACAATATTTACATTGGAACAGCTGATTGTCTGATCCGAGTAGATTGACTAGATTGACAGCGCTCCAAATAGGGTCAGTGACCGGTACTAACTTAATTTGAATAAGTACCATGCCCCAACTACCATCAAAAATCCCCAGTACCTTCCACCTTGGAGTTTTGACAGAGACTTTTTAAAGGACATTGCAGGGACAAGCAGAGGTCATTCAGGTCGAGGACTTTCCACGATTAAGTGTTCGGGAAAATTCCTCAGGCACATTTTGCCGATTTTCTGAGTTGTCTAGTTTTCGCTCATAGATCTAGGGTGGCTAATCCGTTATTTTAGCACCCAATCGCCTTGTGCGGATTTTTTTTTTTGTGAGTCGAAAAAGAGCAACGTGACCAATTGTTTGTTCCTAAAGGCCAAAGTATTTTGGTAAGTCGTTTTTCTTATTAATCTTCTCTGTGTTTCTCTATTTCCTATGTAAAAGCATAGTTTTCTGTTAATTATACGGTTAAATTCCGAATATTGGACATACCTACCTATTGCTCCACGCCCAGTCTCATAAAGTCCATTTGTTTCAGGCCTTTACCTTTAGATGTCACCTTTTATTCGTCACGCTTTAGTCCCTGACTTTCAGTAAAGAGTTATACGTTGAGCTTACCGTATATTTCAAGTAGTACCTACAATCTTCAGCCTCCTCTAGACCATTGGAAGCCTTAGTGACTCCTAGTTACTGAACTTCAGTGCCCAGGGCCAGGTTGCTTCTTGTTGCGGCCCTGATCCAGTCCCAGGCCATTGGAAACACTGGAAGATATTGATCCCACCTGTCAGGTTCTCTCCTAGAGTTTAGGGACTACTCAGGTTTGATAAGTGTGTTGTATTGTCTTAATATCAAACCTTACCAACCCCTTGTTGGAGTGAATCACCACAACAACGCAGTTCTACGACAGTATTAA